TGTGTGTGTGTGTGTGTGTGTGTGTGTGTGTGTGTGTGTGTGTGTGTTATGTAGCTATGGTAATCACTCCGTTTTGTGCAGAGGGAGATTCTTTCCGACCACTATGTCGTAGCTCCTCCCCTCTTGCTCTCTGCAAATACAAAAATTAGAAAACACTCCCACCTCAGATCTCACCTTGCTCGGGCTAGACACAACGGGCTTCTGCGTGTAGTCATCCATAACGGGGCTCTTCAGAGAGTGGATTGAGTAAAGTAATGCTTTTGAGGTGCCTGCAGGCAAGCGGCAGTTTTGAGGACGAGTGGACGGCTCTGAGCGGCCACCATCGCCACACAGGGTTCAGGCAGGGGCAACAGACTGGACAGAGAGGTAGACAATCAGTGACATGGACACTTGAATCTGTATCATGTGGTTAGAGGACATCCTGGCGCAGCTGCCCTGTTAAGCATCTATGTTTTGCCTCAAGATAGTATTGGAATAGGACAGCTTGTTGTGATCAGTTTGTGCTGGGGGTGATTATTAGACACAAAACAACTTATTGTTATGAGTTTCTGTATGATTGTGTAAATGATGTTGTATTCCCACTCTGACCGTTGCTCCTTCTCTTTCCTCCAGAAGCTCTCCACCGGCCGTTCGGCCTGGACTCCGCAGCGCTGACGGAGGCGGTGCGCTGGAGCTCCAAGGAGAACCTGCTGGGAGCGGCCGAGAGCGACCCCAACCTCTTCGTTGCACTTTATGACTTTGTCGCCAGCGGAGACAACACGCTCAGCATCACTAAAGGTAAACAAGAGTGTCACTCTCATTTCTCATCTCTGATTCACTGTAAATGGATTAAAACAACTGTTTATGTTGATGTTGTTTGCCTACTAACTGCCTAACGACCAAAAAAAAAAGAGGTTTCATGATGTTATTTGCTGAAACGAGACTTGAAAAACTTGTCCTCCAGTCCATTCTTTTCCATGCATCATCACTGAAGTTTGAAGCTACGTGATGTGCCTTCCTAAGCAACGCTGACGTGTAGGAAAGAGTCATGGGTTACACCCTGGAGGCAATGCCTGTGATTGGCAGGTCAGCAACTCGTAGCTGAAAGGATGTTTGATGAGTAAAAGTGTAGTTTTGGCAGAGGAATGTTGAGTGTCAATAGAGCTCACCCAACCGTCACAATAACTGCTCCCTGTTGTGACATCAGCCCGTATCTGACCCCCGACCTAAAGCTTTCTTTGTCAACTACCCAAACCCCTCACATCCCTCTTTCACACTTTACTTCTTTTACACCACCTGTGAGCCAAACAGGCGTTATCATCCACTAATCCAGAGGTTGAAAAAAATACCTAACATTTTCTCGTTACATGCTCTGATATTAGAACATTTAACGAGAAATTGTTATGGAAATCTTTAGTTCAAACCAGCAGTTAACCGGTCAACCGTCTCTCCCCAGAGTAATAAGCTTAAAATATCCTCATCATATTAGAGACAGCCCGGCTCGGGACAGCAAGGCTCATGTCCCCAACCGATCTAAAGCATTTAAACGTGGCGGACTGTTAATTATCCATTGTTTTTCAGACTTCCACGGCAGCTGCCTGGGATGCGAGCACATGTACACTCCCGGGCTCCGCTGCACTATTCCTATCTGTCCGGCTCTTTGCCCCACCCCACGGAAACACCCCAGCATGCCTCTAATGCTGTGTGTTTCCATATGTTGATGTTAATATGGAATATGTTCAACTGTAATAATGACAGGTGGGTGAGCACAGCAGGCAGGGGCTGATCAGAGAAGGGACTTAACAAGCCCTCGTCTGGGGCTAATATTTGTCTCTTTGCTGTGCCTCTTTGAACCAGGCTAGGCCAGACTGGGGCCCAGCTTCAGGCAGACATGGCTCCCAGTGTGTGAGGCAAGGAGGTAGTCAGTGTTTCCACTCCCACAGAACTTACAGACTCAGAGGAGACTGATGGATTGGTGGGCTGGATGTGGATAACCATCTCTGTTTAAAGTAGTCCTGTGGGTTGCTAGCATAGTGTTTCACTTTAAGTGCTAGACCTGCTGCTCTAGTCACTGGTTACATGTTAGTGGGCCACGGTTGACTGACTGACTAGACATACTGTTGTGTAAAGGCATGCGACCGAGTCATGCTGGCAGCATTCAGATCCACTCCAGCCCTGTGTGAAATGCTGGATAACTTTTTAATATGGACGTTTGCCTTGTGACGAAAGATCAAATAGTAGCCGCCGTGATAACTTTCCAGAGTTGTGAGTTTCAATTCTAGTTTCATAATCTGATGAGCCTTTTAATGCATGCATTTGTTACCCCTCCTGGATCAGTGTTGCTTGTTACACTGATGCCCCCCCCCCCCCCCTGTCTCCAGCCCATCAGCCGCTCTGCTCACCCACGTCTTCAGCACTGACGTCGGAGAGAAAGACAACAGACCAAGTCACTACATGCCTGGTGTTGCCTAGCCCTCTATGACAGATATGCAGTTCACCCAACCCTATCATTGTTCCATAGCTTTTGATGTAGTTATAATGAGAGGAATGTCGAATACATGACTCCTCGCTCCTGTGTGCGACCTGTTATTTACCAACGCTGGGGCCTGATAAGAAATTCTCTTCTTTGTTGTGTCTCTCTAAGGAATTTGAGAGACAAATGAATGAAATCCTGTAATCGGCTTCAGATATTTAATTATAAAACATAAGAAACCTTTGCTTTAAACTCATGATTAGAGATTTTTATACAACTTGTTAACTGTCAGTCCACGCTGCCACTGATAATGTCCCCATGAGATCAAGTCTTACAAGTTGCCCCTCCTGTGTCCAGGTGAGAAGCTGCGCGTGCTGGGCTACAACCAGAATGGAGAGTGGAGTGAAGTGCGCTCTAAGAACGGCCAGGGCTGGGTGCCCTCCAACTACATCACGCCAGTCAACAGTCTGGAGAAGCACAGCTGGTACCACGGGCCAGTGTCGCGCAGCGCCGCCGAGTACCTGCTCTCGTCCCTCATCAACGGCAGTTTCCTGGTCCGGGAAAGCGAGAGCAGCCCCGGACAGCTGTCGATTTCCCTCCGCTATGAGGGGAGAGTCTACCACTACCGGATCAACACATCCTCCGATGGAAAGGTAGAGTTATACATATGATACTCTTTAGATGTAGATGGCGTTTGGACTTTGACAGCATTTATTAACTCTGTCCCTCTCCTCATCTTCCCCCCCCCCCCCAGGTGTATGTGACGTCTGAGAGTCGTTTTGCCACCCTGGCCGAGCTGGTCCACCATCACTCCACCGTAGCCGATGGCCTGGTCACCACCCTGCACTACCCAGCTCCCAAATGTAACAAGCCCACAGTGTACGGCGTGTCGCCCATCCACGACAAGTGGGAGATGGAGCGCACGGATATCACCATGAAGCACAAGCTGGGAGGAGGCCAGTATGGAGAGGTGTACGTGGGAGTGTGGAAGAAGTACAACCTCACGGTGGCTGTCAAGACACTCAAGGTAAGAAGCCCCTCCCCATCATCATTTAATGTCACTGAGCTTCATTGTGGGAAGCTGGTTTGTGAAAATAGTTATAGATCGCCACCTGCAGGCAGACTTTGGTCATACACGTGCTGCATGTTACTTGTTCCCAGCTGCCATGTCTTTCCAACCCACTGATTACTCTTTTCTTTTTGCTTTTTTTTTCCATTTTCCATCATGACAGGAGGATACCATGGAAGTTGACGAATTTCTGAAAGAAGCAGCAGTTATGAAGGAGGTTAAACACCCCAACCTCGTTCAACTACTAGGTCAGTAATTATGAGCACTGATTCTATGTTACTGTGCCTCTACAAAACCAAACTACTTTTCATACTGTATTTATCTCAATACATTCTAGATGACTTATGAGCTGGCTGTGGCAGACACGTTCACTCTTAGTGGTTGTTGGCATCTGTCTTCTAACTGCTGCCTCTCCCACAGGTGTGTGTACGTTGGAGCCTCCGTTCTACATCGTAACAGAGTACATGCCACACGGCAACCTACTGGACTACTTAAGAGATTGTGACAAGGAGGAGGTGAACGCTGTGGTGCTGCTCTACATGGCTACACAGATCTCCTCTGCTATGGAATACCTGGAGAAGAAGAACTTTATACACCGGTGAGGGGATACTCTAGTGTGTGTGTATGTATGTTTGCCATGCCTCATTTGTCAGAGTAATCTAAATTCTCTCTCTTTCTCTCCCTCTCTTCTCCTTACCTCACTGTCCCTCCCTCAGGGATCTCGCAGCGAGGAACTGCCTGGTCGGGGAGAATCACGTTGTGAAGGTTGCAGACTTTGGCCTGAGCAGGTTGATGACTGGCGACACTTATACCGCCCACGCTGGGGCCAAGTTCCCCATCAAATGGACCGCACCGGAGAGCCTTGCATACAACACCTTCTCAATCAAGTCTGATGTCTGGGGTGAGCAATACATGAGCATACATTCATATTAAGTGCTCCTCTTCTTGTAGCTCATTTTTCCATGTGCTAATGTGTGATCTGCTTCATTACAGCATTCGGGGTGCTGCTGTGGGAAATTGCCACCTACGGCATGTCTCCGTACCCTGGAATCGATCTGTCTCAGGTCTATGACCTCCTGGAGAAAGGTTACCGCATGGAGCAGCCCGAGGGATGCCCGCCCAAAGTCTATGAACTCATGAGAGCATGTGAGTAGTAGCTGTCATACCTGCCTTTAATTATTCACCAAGTGGCGGCACTAAAGTGGGAAGACATGGATAGAGGTCGACAGCTGTGAAAGTTTGTTTGGGCTTTAATCTTTCCGAGATGCTTGTCGAAATCTTTGTCATATCACAGTTCGCTGCAGCCCCTTCAATACTGTCTTAAAACTCACAATCCTGTAATAAGAAAAAAGAAGACTTACAAACAATAGTCTGGAACTACAGGATCTGTGAAAGAGCAGATTGTTTGTCTTATATTGTCGTCAAATTCGGTACCGTCTTTTAGTAACATGCCTTTGTGTCTGTCTCTCTACCAGGCTGGCAGTGGAGCCCTTTGGACCGGCCTTCGTTTGCAGAGATCCACCAAGCCTTTGAAACAATGTTCCATGACTCCAGCATCTCTGAAGGTAGAGTAACATGTTGCTTATCCTCAGTCTTTTGTGTAGCTGAAAACCTGCATTCATAAAGCTTCTAAAATCACTGTGCTGATTGAGCTGAACAGGCAAACTCTCCTTCTCATTCAGAAAGCTGACGTTTACTTAGCTCAGCAGAGCTGCCTGTTCGACTTTGCTGCCTTGAGAGACAGCTAGAATATCTTATTTAAGATTAAACTTAATTAAGAAACGGTGTCATTGGAGCAGCATAATGTGTAAAATAGGCTAAAAATTAGAAAGCGTCCGGTTAGAGTTTGACTAATCATTTGATGTTGATTAATTAACATCGTCGTGTTAATTAATTAGTAAATGTATGTTTGGATTTGGATTGTGACTGCCTTCTAATAGTTTGAATCTTTTCTTTGGACATTGCAGAGGTAGCAGAGGAGCTCTGTAAGACGGCCTCCTCTGGTCACTGCGGACCACTGCACCCGTTCAGTCACGACATGCCCCTGTTGCCTTCCAAATCTCGCACACTCCACAAGCACACAGAAAACAAGGAAAACATTGAGGGTGGACTGGACGGACGATCTGACCACGGCACGCACGGTCACTCAGGTACAGCCAGACATGCCTACCTTTCTTCCAACCAGTCAGATGCACCACACTATGATTCTGCAGGTATGCCAGAGAAGGCTGATTCGCGGAGTACATTGCAGCGCCGCCAAGCCCGCCGCCTGAAAAGAAGGGCCGTCATTTTCCTTCCCGACTGACCACTGGTGCCCGGCATCTGTCTAGCATCCGGTCGATCATCCAGCGCTGTCTCGAGGCAGATCTGCAAGCACAGCCTGACGTAGACATACACTGGCCTAGAGTTACAACTGTTTCAGCACTCAGAAGTATTTGATTTCTAATGTTCAAGGTTCTGTTTATTCAGCCATGAAACTAAAGTGCTCATGTCTGTGTCATCCGACACCAATTAAAAGATGTTAAAGATGCTATAATAGAAATTATAAAATAGAAATTTGCACAGCTCCTCTATCATGTGATTCATGGGGTCACTTCAAGTCAACCACAAACGCATATATTGAGCGATCTATGGAATCTGTTTTTGTTATCTGTGATGGAATGGAGGTCTTGCTCATTATCTGTCTTGTCCTATTTGTTGCATTACTGTTCTGCCCACATCCCAATCAATATTTAGACTCGTCATGTATGTATTAATATTTGCTAACCCTAAGATTAAATTTCCATATTGTCTGTTTTGTCTTGTCTATTTTAATTTATTTATTTGTTTTATATTGAAAATAAAATGTTTCATTTGTGTTTTTACTCGATGTGTGAAGACGACTGTCTGTCTTTGTCTTGGTTTGCCTTTTCTCATCTTCTGTTAGCATTTTGTTCAGCTTGTATGTTTTGGTCCATGCACATGATGAATGAAGAAGTATTCACCAATAAAGTGAACCGTAGCTTTCATTAAGTCATAAATCAAATATAGATCGTTACTGTGATAATGCAGAGCATTTTACAGCGTCATTAAGCACAAAGCATGACTCATAAAACATCACCACGTGTATGTTTGATATTAATGAAACCACAAAGACTGTGACCACAGTTTTGACCTCGTGTTCATGTCTGTGTTTTACTAATATTCCTTGTTTGTATGCATTTATATTTCCATGCAAATGCGATCAATGAAGAGAGAACCATGCCAAGTAAGAAATGCTGAGTGAACTGTTTGTGACGTCATGTAACTGTTGTAGTTGTAATGGGTTAGATTTAAGTTTTCTCCTCCACACGTGCTAATTCATTGTCTGGTCAGTGAAGATTGAGCCCCGTTCTGTCGTGATTTTAAATGCCAGCAGAAGTGTGAATGTGTGTTTCCCTCTTTGACCAAAGTTACACAACAGCCCTCCTCGTAACAGGTTGGGCAGTTTCTGTATGTGTTCTCAGGTCCTAGAAATGTATTCATCATCCCATCTTTTACAAGAGCGGCTTGTAAATCATTGAATTAGTGTTTGCATGTGCATGACTGGCATGGCCTGAGAACTTTCCATCCCTTTTCCTGACTCATGAGTCCCAGAGGAGGAAAGAAAAGCTTTTAGAGAGAGAGCGGGAGGGAGAGGATAGTCCATTTTTATCACAACAGCACACCGCTGCCTGATGCATTGAGTGACATTAATCTATAGGCAAGCATATTGAGAGACTAGAGGGATACAGTGCAGTGTTTATTTATTTCTTGTGAGGTATTGAATAACCCTTTCACAAAGATGTGGGTTTTTGCTGAGTTCAGCCCAGCTCTGTTGCATTGTTTTAATCCAGCCCTCTGTCCTTCTTTCCAGGCTGGGCTTCCACCTTGTTAGGAGGGGACGGCAGATCGGGCAGCTCCCCGGCTCTGCCCAGAAAACAGCTGCCGCGAGATAAATCTCCCGGCAGCCTTTTAGAGGACACACAGGACATGGGCACGTTTACGCGAGACCGCAAGACTGGCTTCTTTAGCTCCTTCATAAAGAAGAAATCCTCCTCCTCTTCCTCCTCGCCGTCGTCTCAGCTCCAACAGAACCTCCCGACGCCGCCCAAGAGGAGCAGTTCTTTCCGGGAGATGGAAACGCAGCCTCACAAGAAATACGAGCCCACCGCTGATTTCAGCGCTCCTCCTCCCCAACCCCATTCGGACAGTCTTAGTGGCTTTTCTGCCTCTCCCTCTCACTCCCATGGAGAACCCGCCCAGCCTCAGTCACGCTGCTGTGGGGCTGCTTTTGGACAGAAACCCTCTGGTGGGGGGCTTGCTTCACAGGTGACCAGCGGCAGCAGTTGGAGTGGGCTGGCTGGGTTTTTTACCCCTCGACTCATCAAAAGGACTCTGGGGCTACGGACAGGAAAGACCACCTCTTCAGAGGAGGGTGGGAGTATAGCAGGAGGGCCTAAACCCTTTCCTAGGTCCAATTCTACCTCCTCAATGTCATCTGGGCTGCCAGACCTGGAGCGCATGGCTCTGACTTTACCCAGGAACCGCTGTGCTAAACCCCCTCTAGAGAGGACTGCCTCCACTACCTCCCAGCCAGAGAACGGGGCCGCACGGCCCTCGGAAACTCTGCTGAGGAGGATGGATGAGGGGACTGCACAGATCAGGGAAAGGCCCAAAGCCAAGCTATTACCCCGAGGCGCTGCTGTAGGGGTGAGGGCGCCGGGGGTTGGGGGGGAGGTGGGGGAATCGGACAGTCTGTCTCGGGTCAAGGAGGGCAGAGAGGAGGGTGGGGGAGGACTGGACAGGCAGCAGAGTTGGTCGACTCCCTCGAAGACTTCTAATTCGATAGCGTCATCGGCCGCAGCAGGTGCGCCAACTCACAACCACAAAGTTCCGGTCCTGATCTCTCCCACGCTGAAGCACAGCCCAGCTGACGTGCACCTGGTCGGACTGGACTCTCAGGGGAACCGCTTCAAACTGCTGTCTGAGCACCAAGCAGACCGGGACAGGCCGCGACTTGTCAAACCCAAGTGTGCTCCTCCTCCCCCTCCCACCCTGCGCAGCCTGCAACACTCGTACAGCGGTGACGGGGAGGAGCAGGCAGGAGGAGCACCGGTGGAAGTAAACGGAGACACATTGAAAGGTCACAGGTCGGGACGAATGTCGGGTGGCACGACGACGGGCAGACCATCTGTGCCGCCACCGCAAGTGCCTCCCGCATCCTCCTCCTTTTCTCCATCCTGCCCCGCCTCCATCAACACGACTCCCACCAAAATGGCCAACGGGGCCGCCACCACGGCCTCCTCTTCACACACAGCGTCATCCGCCGCTTCCAAAGTGGCACTGCGGCGAACCAGGCAGCAGACGGAGAGGGTGCCCCTGGAGCGCGTTAGCCGCGTGGCCCTGCTGGAGTGCGCCGAGTGCCTGAGCAGCGCCCTCCACGCCAGCTCCGAGAGCCCCTCCAGCAGCCAGGTGCTGGACGCTGGCCACCAGCTGCTAGACTACTGCTCAGGTTACGTGGACTGCATCCCTCAGATGAGGAACAAATTTGCCTTCCGAGAGGCGGTGGGGAAGCTGGAGCTCAGCCTGCAGGAACTGAGGGCCTCGTCCTCCGGAGGTGGAGTGCTGAGCGGCGTGGGGCCCACCACTGTACAGGACAACCTGCACAGCTGTATTAAAGAGATTAGTGACGTAGTACAGAGGTAGCCACTGTGACAGCTCCAACCGTCACACCCCCCAACTACCCAACAGACTGCTAATATTCCTTTTTATGTTCTGGTTCTTTTGACAGCTTTATGGGGGACGAAATGAGATGAATCTCTCTAAGTACCTCAGAGAAATCACTACAAAATCTATTCTTTTTACTGTTTACAAACGACTGTTTCATAAAATGCCAGTGTGGACACTAGTTTTGCTCTGACCTACAAGTATTCAATAACGTTTTTGCCAAACTTAACGTGGTTTAAGTCGCACCATGACATGTTTAGCCCCTCGCCTCCACCTGGCCGTGATAAAGGCCTCTTCGCTAAATGAATGTCGAGTGTATCGACTGTGTGAAGGCAAAGTGGACGCTCACTCTGCTCATCTGTCAGTCAGTCACATACCGAGCGAGAGTGATGGTGGCTGTGATCAGCCTTACTGAGAATACTAGACGACTGTTTTCACTGACGAAGCCCGAACAGTGTTTCACAAATGAGTGACGCATCAGTTGGATGTATTGTGTTTCGCAGTATTCGAGTATTTTGCTCAGTGTCTGGGGAACTAAGTGATCATAAGCCATTTTTTTGAAAGCCATTATATTCTAAAGGATTGGAAACGACATCAGGATTCAAGGTTTTGAGGTCACAATTTGCAGTTTTATTCTGTGTGCTTATTTTCATGAGTGATTTTAAGTAGATACTGAAATGTGATAAAATATCAAATCTCTCCAAAACTGCTCATGTTCATATCGGACTAAAGCCTTGTTTCTGAGAATAATCCTTTAAGTATAGTCAACTGTTTAGACGCAGACATTCCCACGAGTCCACACAAGGCGACCGTTGTGAAAAACAGACTGAAGGGATCACTTGCAGCATTGAAGCTCGTGTGCATCTGACAAGCGTGTAAATATGCTCAAATGAAATGTTACGTGTGCGTTTCAGTATTGCCAAATACAGGCTTATCAAATCTAAAAAGATTTTAAATCTAGAAAAGATTTATTCGGTTCCAAAACACAATAAAGAATGTGGGCTGTTTTGTCAAATGCACGGCATTTGTCTTTGCTTCAGTGTCGTGACTCATGTTCACACCGTAACACAGTGCCACATAAATGGGGGGGGGGGAAATCCCCAGTCTCCTAAAGCATTTCAATATTTATGTCCAGTTATCCTTGCACACTGCATTTCTTCCTTGTATGATGGAGCATAAAGGAGTGAGGAGGGGGGGGGGGGGGGGGGGGGGGGGGAGAGCACAGGGTAGCGCATGAGCAGGTGAAGTGGGACAGTATTTCTAAAAGTGTCCTTCCGAGTACGGACAGTGCTGGATTCCCTGTAGCCTTGTCGTGTCCTCAGTGCCTCAAATTCTTCATGAACACTGCGAAATGCAGAGGCCTACTTCACATGAATCACACACAGTACTGATCTCTCAACAAAAAACAAAAAAAACTGCAGTATGTCTTCAGCACATGAGTGATTTGTACATTTATTTGGTTCAAAGAAAAATGCTTTTTAGAATGTCTATGTCTGAACTTGAATTTTAAATTATTCCTGATTATTTTTTTTTCTTTTATTAAAAGCACAGACCTATTTTGAGAGAGAAGTTATGTAAATATTTGATTTATTTCATATCCAGGAAACAAAAGATGTATGTGTAGTGACAGCATTAAGAGCGATGTTTTTGACTGAAGAGATGTATTGCGAGACGTCGGCTCTTCCACCCTGATCTGAATATCTGCTTCATGAATGTATTTTTCTTCTGTTCTGAACCCGGTCGAATGTTCATCTGCATGACTCTTCAATCTTTTAATTTTTTTTTAAATTATTTATTATAATTTTTTTTTTTTTTATTGGCCCATACTTTTCATTTTGGTCACACTAAATAATAAGTCCAGGAACGGCTGCTCTGTTTTTTTGAGCACAAACAAAAACTGTGTACACCGCGCACACGCAACTTGCTTTGGCTCACGTCATATCGTACACTGGATAAGGCCTCAGACACATTGGTTCGTTGACACATGTTGCATATGAGTACTACAAAATCTGTAAACACTGCAGGTCCAGAACACTTTCAAAATGCCTGTCAATGACACTTGATGGATTTGCCAAGTAAATGTTTTGTCCACTTGTGTTGTGATGCGTTTTTACATCATTTCATGTTGTGTCAATATTTATGTCCATTTTCTTGCCAAAACAGGATCCTTTTGAGACAAACTGATGACTCATGTCTATTCACTGTGAGTTTCAAAGAACATGGATGAAAAAATGCCATCTTTTCTTTCATGATTCTTGGTGCCTTTTTTGTGAACAAATGATTTATGTACAGTACACTATCACTGAGAGAATTCAAAGGTTTGGCAATGTTAAAGTCCATCATTAAAACATCATTGAAATGTGTTTTTCTTTCCTTTGCCATGAGATTGTGATAAATGTATCACGACAGCATGCATTTCTGTCATTTGGAGGTTAATGGTCAGATGCAAACTTGAAGCCAAAAGGTGCACTTTGTCTTTTGAAGATTATGTATTTAGATACTCTAACAAATGACACATGCGTCTGCTGCACTAAACCCAAGCTGCTGTGTTGTCTCGTAATCGGATCACATCAAAGGTTTTGTTGAGCGATGTCTCGTTAGAGTTTTCTGTTGATGTGTGTAGTGCATCTCTGTGGAGCAGGTTTTCCAAAAAAGAAAAGCCTTATCAAGAAAAAAATGTAACCTCCCAGAATCAACAGGTTTCCAGTCTGGACTGTTTTTAAAGAAATAAAAGATGTAGATTTTTAAACACTATTTACAGAGTCAATAAATTGATTTGGTACCAATGTGTTTTCCTCAAATCTGATATCTGAACAGACGCTGTTCAATATTTGAGCTGACCACAAATTTCTCAACATCGGTCTTCTCCGTTGTCTTTATTTATGCTGCCTGCATTTATCCGGTATATCTGTTATTTCTTTTCTCCTGTCTCGGTTGTGGAGAAGAGCTCTGGAGATCGTGTGTACACATCATTATACCAAAGGCCATTTCTTCAGTTGTACGAGTGCAATGCAAACCAACACACAACGTAATGGAATATGTGAATTTAAACAGGGATAAAAGTGGCAAGAGATGTTAACATTAACTTTTTTATTGTACAAAATATATATTTTGTGTTTTTTTTATTTTTTATTTAAAGCTCACGTTATATTACTGTGAAGTTTTGCTCATCAGTGTTAAGCCTATTGTAAATAATAAAGATATTGATGAATACTGTTTTGTTTTTGGTATGTTCATCTGCCACCGAGCATTTCAATCATTTTTTTTTAAACAATTAAAATGAATTTTGGTGGCTCAAAAGCACAGGCACGTTAGCCTCGATGCTAAGCTGCAGGCAGCGGTAAATGTAAGAAAACTGTGCAGACTGATTGTTAAAGCAGGAGAACTGTGGGATGTAATATGAGCAGAGGCATAATCAAATGGATAAATAATTTAAGATATGCAGCACCTGTTGTAAGATTACAGAATTAGTACAGTGGGAGGTAAAGTTGACAGTTGCTACATCTAGTCCATTTACTGTACTTAAGTACAATTCTGAGGTACTTGTTCTTCACTTGAGTACTACTCTCCTGTACAATTCAATTTATTTTTCTATATAAATCAGAAATATGCCTCAGAGGGCTTTACAAAATATAACCTTTAATGGGGAGGGGAAGAACAGAAGAACCCTTAGGGAGGAGCACCAGAGGAGGAATCCTTCTCCCATAATGGACAGAAGTGCAATAGATGTCATGTGTGCAGAATGAACAACATAATAGAGCTAAAACACATTCAATGCATATGATGTGAATTATTCATATAATGAGAGTATTGGGTATAATGATGGAAGAATTATGACTTCTAATAGTAACAGCAGCAGTGGATATAATAGAATAATCATGATAATAAAAGCATTAAGTAATATAAATGAGTTTATTAACAATAATAACAGTAGCAGTGGGTGTCAGGAGGGAGGCACGACCACGATGGAAGCCTGCAAGTGGAGAAAGCAAAAGACAACGGAGAAGAAGCGGTTAATAAAATATGATTCATTATTATAATTTACACAGCAGTATATGCAGTAGTTAAACTAGCACCTCGGCCAACTACAAGATTGAAGTAATGCTCAAAATGTTTGATAATCCAAAAATAAAACACTGACAAAAATGTTTAGTTTTGATACTTCATGTACATTGTGTTACTGATACATTTGCACTTTTACATACTAAAAATCTATTTTATTAGGGTTTTTTGGGGTCAAAAACAGTAATACAGAACAACAACATCATCGCCAGATATTACGACATTCACAATATCCAGATAACACATTCTATACTATGGATAAAGAGGCTTTATACAACATTTCATAATTTACATTTACTTTTCTATGATTGTAAAAGCAGACAGTAAAGGGATGGTAAATTATATTGTATGCACTGAGGATGAGAAAGGCAAACCACCAAGGTCTTTCTTTATTCCGGATATATATTATCCATTTTTGAATGTATATGTATATGATTAGTTCATTTTTTAGGTTAATTGGATTTGCAGGAATGCAAGAGTTACAGTATAAAAGGAGTATTTCAGCTGGCTTTTCCTTATTTTCCTTAAGTAAAGCATACTTCTTCTATTGTTTAGTACATTTATGGGGTAACTCAAGCACCCCTGGCATGCAGCGCATCATCCTGCCCACACCTTACCCGACTCCTCCCCGATCCTACACTATTGTAAAGATGGCGTCCATCATGGAGGGGCCGCTCAGCAAGTGGACGAACGTCATGAAAGGGTGGCAGTACCGCTGGTTCGTGTTGGACTACAATGCCGGTTTACTGTCATACTACACGGTACGTTCGTTTCCACGGTCAATAGACGCTGAACCGGTCTGCCCGAGAGGGTTAGATTGTAGAAGTTGTCTCTGGTTGTCAAACCCAAGTGGGATAAGGGCCTTGTGTTTGTCAGGAGTTGGGAGTATCAGCTGGTTCCAAAAAAAGGCGGGTCTCTTTGATGACGGATCCGAACGTTAGCCAATGGCAATGCTCCTCAAAGACCCACTGACCAATCAAGTGACAGTATTTGTTTTTCCCCCTACACTTCCGCTACTGTAGCTAGCTAGCATTGCTAACAGCTGAAATACACCGAATCGGCTAAACATGATTGTGAATAGTTAACATCGTTAGGTGATAGAGAAAGAGAGACATACCTGTGTTTGTCAGCGAGACGACATCTGTCTCTGGTAGTTAAATAAGAGTCCCTACACTCGCTGGTTTGCTAGCTGCCTGGCTAACTGACACAGCGGGAGCAGACTGGTTGCTAGTTCGATTCTTGATCAATTCCAAGTCGATTCATCATTGTACTCTGATTAGTAACGTCGAGAGTAAAGCAGACAGGAAACTGTCAGGGGAAGTGTTTGTGGGGAAAAAGTTGTAAGGAAGATGACAACTAAGAGCTGCCCACTCCTCTCAGCAGGTTGACATTAAATTATCTTATTTACATGTTAAATAGTTAGTTTTCAGTTACTCTAATGTCGTGTTAAAGGAAATTCTGAGCCCTGACTAAGATGGGTATGTTGACATAGTATCATGAAAGTCATCACTGTGGTCGAGGTATGCTTGCTGTTTTAGATGTGAGAATAAACCTGCAGTTATTGCACGTTTCAGAGCAATGTCCCACTGATACAGAGGAGTGAACAAGTCCAGAGTCAGACTGTAGTCTGGAGAGAGAGCCCTGAATCTGATGAATGTAGACATCAAGTCAAAGCAGAGCTAGAGTCTAGTAGGCATCCCATACAGTGGAAACAATACGTTGATTGACAGAACATCTGCAGGCATCACATTTGCTGCTTTCAGCTTCTCAAATGTGAGGATTCGCTGCCCTTTCTCTGTCTTTCAGCATAATTATGATTTGTTGAAATTTTATAAAACCTTTTTGATTGTGGGCCATATACAGAAAAATATAAGCAGCCATGGACCAAACATCAAGGGATGTGTTGTTTTCAACCAGTGACACTGCAAAAAAAGTGTTTCTACAGCAGAAAATCCCATGTGAAAAGTACTATTTTATCAAAATGATTATGCAACATCACAGTCATTTATTGGTGTGTGCACAAATTAAAAAGTATTACATGTTTTTTTTGTATCTGCTGCTCTCAATTTTACTTTAAATAGTTTCTATATGTTTAAACTGTAATACAGTGCACGGCTTCCGTGCCCACTTAAAATATTCTGGCAG